AAACAAATTGAAAATATATCACAAGCTAAAAACGATACAAACGAAAACGAAACGAAACATAAACAATGGCAACAAAACAATCACAATAATTGTCTCTTTACGCGCAGCACGCCAGGCCACGCCACGCCACGCATGTGAATCTCAGCCGATGTCGACATCAAAAAAATAAATCTGGCGCCATCCTTCCCACATGCCTGCCACCCATACGCCCCCCTCTCTGCAGCCACACCCACCCATCACACAATCGCAGCAGCTTCCTCACCTTCGCTGAAACGAATTGAAATGAAACGAATCGGCACGAGCCTTGCGCACGTTTCTCGCTCTCTACAATTCTGTCGTTCTCTATGTGGCTGTGCATGTAAAGAGAAAGAGAGAGAGAGAGAGAGAGAAAGAGGAGCACAGGCACAAGCGCACAGAGTGTGTCTACTTTCTCTCTATATAAATAGTTCAAATCGAGTTTGAGCTACAAAAATCCAATGCAAATCATACACAGCGTCAAGCGTGAAAGTGACGCACTTGGGTCACCTCTATCTCTCTCTCACAATGAGTCGTTTGCCGTTTGTCCCTATACGAAAGTATAACCCTGATCGCCAACTGTTTGCATATTTATATCGATCCCCTTCTCTCTCTCGCTCCCGTTGACACTAGCGCATTGCAAAAGTTTGCAATTACAACAATTACGATGAATATTTGCAATGAGTTTTCATGGCAAGGAAATTTCGTTTTATTTCATTTCATGATAACGATCAGCGTACGGCAGCTAAAGCAGCTATATAGCGGGGTCAACAATATTTAGATATTTATCTTGTCATATATATATATACATATATATGTGTGTGTGTGTGTGTATGTTGTTATTGTTGCGCATAACGGTAATTACATCTAGGCACGGCATTGCCCCTGAATACACACATAAACAGTTATTTGTATGCGTGTGTGTGTGTCTCTCTCTGTGTGTGTGTGTGTGTATGAGAGTCATTTGTTATTGGCTTTGCATAGATTTAAATAGCGCCATTGACTTTGTAATTTACTGTACGTTCATATTTAGTGGATAACAGCTCATGTTTCCATTTGAAATTTATACAATTAAATACAGTTTAAATTACTCACACAAAAAAATAGTTGAAAGTTATGCTTATGCTTCAATTTTTATATAAATAAAAACTTTAAAGCTTCCTTATATTCTTCTTTGTTTTAAAAATATAAAACTAAAAAAATATTAGTATACTCATAAAAACATTGCTTTTAATTTTTTAGTAAATCGCAGTACTTTTGGCGGCAATGGTTGGTCACCCTACTATTCAGATCGTACATTTTTCAAATTTATGTTTATGGCCTTCTAAAAATAAGAATTTGTATTTCTAAATTTCAGTCTGGACTTTCTAAAATTTGGACAAATTATTTCTAATTTCCTGGGTGTTTTTTTTCTCCTATGTTTACATTGAAGAATTCTCATATAAGCTTTTTGGTTGCCTATATTATTATAGTTTTTCTTTTTTAAATAAATATATTCCTTATTAACAGAAAATATTTCTAAAAAAAATATATTTTTGGGATTGTCGATTTAGGGTGTCTTTCAAAATTTTAGGAACGCTTTTCCTAATATGTAATAATTTTATAGAGTGGTACTAAAATATAGAGTGTAGTTAAAAATATACGCAAATAGAGCAATTTAGTAATTATTAGTAAATTATGCAATTATGACAATTGGCAATTTGCTTACCTGGCTAAGGCCATTCTAACATGAGAGAGCCCTCCGTGAGGCAACGCGATTGCATCCACTTTGAAGGATTTAGCTTGACAAGCTCCCCGGACACGAAACAAACCAAAATCCAAATATATATAAATATTGTGCTGCGGAACTGATATTGTATCTGTATATCTAAATATATTGTAGTTCACTGCACTCTTATTGAATAAATGATTCAATGTCGAATTGCTTTCCAATTTTTAAATTTGTTTATAGTTTATGTTTGTTTTTTTTTCTTTTTTGAGTTTATGTCAAATAAGCTTCATTTTTATGCTGCGCAAAGAGAAATAGATTTGAAAATAGCACTAAAAAGCGTCCATTTTTTTGTGCGGAAAAACTTTGACGGAACAACAACAACGATAAAAATGACAGCAATGGGACACTGTCAAAATTTATCGCATTGAATTTGAGTTTCAGTTAGTACGTGTGTCACCATATTATGGCCAAGTTGATAAACCCGGCTACGTGATATTTGTGCGTGAAATTATCAAAGAGCAGCAGAGCGCAAAAAAAAGCCAAAGCACAAAAAAAAGCGCACACAGATACATATTTTGTATATCGGAGTATGTATGCGTGTGTATAAGTATATATTCATAAAAGAAGGGTGAAGAAACGAGCAAACAATGTTCAATGCCATCGACAAAAAAAATATTAAAGAAACAACAAAAAAAATGATTCGAAACGAAAAACGAGCCGAGTTATCAGCACTTTGTGATAACGAAATTCAACAAAGGCAAAAGCGGCAGCAATGACAGTAAAAAATAAGACACAAAAAAATATTTGCTGACTTTGTTCTGTTCTGTGTTCTGCTCACTCTTCCTCTTCCTACTCTTTCTTTTGGCCATTTGCACATGGCCCGGCAAAAAAGGATTGATAAAAAGCGTCCAAAACGAAAATAAAATCAATAATTGTGCACCGGGTAAAGAGAGGTCAACATTGACGCCCACAGATGATGAGCAAATGTGAAGTTGGGGGTGGGGAGGGGATAGGTAGAGAACAACGGAATCTAAGGTTGTTTGCATATTCGACTTTAGAATCTAACGGAGCCGCCTTCATAAAAGTGCCCCCCAAGTGAGTGCAAGCAGCGCAATCGGAACAAAATGAAACGGAACGAAATGTGAATGTGTGCAGTAATCTCAGCAGCAGAAACAACTAGCATTGAGAAGCGCAAACGAGAAGCGAGCGAGAAGAGGAGAGGAGAGAAGAGAAAAAAATAAACTACTAACTAAATTCCATTCCATAGTCATGAGAGTGTACACAAGGTTCTTCCTATATCAGTCGAGTCGAGTGTGTGTGAATACACATATGCATATGTGTATATGCGTACATGTGTATCGTGTATACAAAAAAAAAAAAAAAAGCTAAAGCACAACGAAAAGTCAAAAAACCTGCGCAGCTAAAAAAAGCTTGAATTTACTTTTGACTTTGCACCGAAGCTCTCGCTCTCTCTCTCCCGCTCACTCACATGCGCACGAGGCAAAAGTTGCGCCGGCGAGGGTCGTTTAATATAGCAACAGCAGCAGCAGTAAATAACGGTGGGTGTATCTCATCTGTTTGAAATATTGAGCGGCTAAGCAGCAAGCAGCATGACCTCAGCGGGAGTGCAATGTGTGAGTGTGAGGAATGAGAAAGAGACAGAGAGGGAGAGAGAGAAATATGGAGAGCGAGCATTTGCATATTTAGTGCGCTCATTTATAAACAATAAACAAAATAGTGGCGCACATGTTTTTAATTGAATTTTACTTTGCAAAAGCTCTCTCGCAAGGCAAAGCCAAAAACATATGTTGTGCTGGTGCGCGAGTAAGATGGATAGATACACATACATACATCCATACAAACATACGTGTGTGTATAAGAAACACACATACTTAAAAGAGAGCGAAACAGCTTGAGAATTTCAATGCTGACTGTTTTATTGTTGCTGCCATTTGGCAAGTACATATTAATTTTGATTGCTTGCAAATTTGCACAAATCTGGCTACTTTAGATATCTTAAACAAACTATTATTATAATTATTATTATTGTGATTTTGTAAGCAATTTCTAATCAAATTTAAACATGTGATTTGCGTCACACAGATACAAAAAAAGAGAGCGCACGCAGCGAGAGAGAAAAGGGAAGAGGAAGAGAGAGCTTACAGAAAAGCCGCCTGTCATACAAAAAAAAGTTAATGTAATGAATTTAATGCATACTTTTCATATATATGCCCCCCACCTCCGGCGCAAACATTATTTACTGTTATTATTTTTACTTGAAGGCTGCTTTTTGCCTTTGCCTTTGCCTTTTGACTTTTCAATTGCCTAATTGACCTCAAAAAGCAACAAAAAAAAAACACAAATTCAAGAGTAAAACTCTGTCAGCGTTTCAGGAAGTTGTCATTATTGTTGTTCTCCCGCTGCTGTTGTTGTTGTTGTTGTAAAGCTCTTTGGTCGCTCGCTTTTTTTTGTGTGTTTAATTGCGCGTGTTTCTTGTTCAAAGCTAGTAGCACGTATTCTACTTCTGATAATATATATATATATAAATATTACTTTTGGTGTTTAAATTAAGGTCACAGAGATACACACATCTATGGCTAACAGTATAACACACATACAGGTTACGCAGAGTTACAACAAACGAAAAAACCAACGCCCGATTCTCTCGACCTTTTACACACACACACACACCTTTTGGATAAATGGATAAATTGGGCAAACAAACGACAAAATCGAAATTTTCGGCTTCTTTTTCTAGTTTTGTTTTTGGTTAGACGCGTTCTGTGAGACAGCGAGACGAGAAAAGCACACAATACTTCACGCTACGCGCAGCAGCTGACGACTGAGGGAGCTTTTTTCTTTGGCTTTTTGCTGGCTTTGGCTGTCTGTGTCTGTGTGTCTGTCTGTGTGTTGTTTGTTGCGGCTACCTTTGACTTTGCATTTGCATTTGATTTTGTGCGCAGAGCTTTTATGCGTTTACACTCTCAGCTGGTTGCCGCATAACGCGAGCAGATTTTGCCGGGTGCAGAGGGACATGGATGTTTTTATGCCTTTTTTTCGTAGCTAAAAAGCTGCTGCTGATTGAACTCAAGGTCCACCCACAGCACAAAGGTTTCAAATCATCTATAACATACCCAAAAAAAAATCAGAGAAGATGGGGATTGGTGCGAAAAATATTTGCTTGATTTTTATTCACAGAAAGGGAAAATTTTGATTAATTTAATATATAATAATTAATTAAATGAAAATATTAATAAAATATTGGATAACTCACCTCCTTTGATTGTTGACAGCCAGCGCTGTCTCCAGCTAACCCTCGGGTTACTCTAATCGAAAAATCCTATTTGCAACGAGCAACAAAATTCACCAGGGAACGGAGTCTGTAAACAATTACAGTAATTATTTATTTATCGATAACCAAATAATAAAGGTAATGTCAAAATACAAATCAAATGGGGAAATGCGCATAATAATAACTTTTTCATTTGAGTTGCAGTTTGTTTGAGTTTGTTTATTTATGTATTTTTTTTTGCATACAAAATGAACGCTTTACAAATTCGTGTAGCGGTCTTTGACTTTTTATCGCTTACATATATATATATATATATATATATATAGACATTTTTTCCCTTTGTATTTGCATTCATTCCCAAGAACCCAAAGAAATGCATTACATTTAAAAGTATTCGACTACTTAATATGCCTAATAAACAGATTTCGATGCCCAAAAGTATGCTATAACGGATTATGAAATCTAAAATAGATTTCAGTGTGGTAATTGAATATTTACATCGAATATTTTTAAAAGTTTTTAAATTTAGCAAGCCAGTAGGCCAGTATTTTAACATAAGCTTATTATTACCATTGTTGCTAACTCAAAATTAAAAAACGAATGCTTTTGAAAATCAGTTCAGTTCTGGCAATGGAAAATTTTTACACTTGTCTAATCAATTAAAAAAATAAGCAACTTTGTTGGGACTAGAATCGCTTATGCAAATTGTGTTAACCTTTGTCTTTACTTATAGAACAAATTGTAAAATTATTGAAAACTCTTTGTAACATTCCAGAAATTTGAAATCTTCGCGAAATTGGAAGAACATTTTATTTTGGCAGCCACAGTATTTCTCTTCCTCTTTTCTTTTTGGGAACAGTGATTAAAAACGATTTCGACAATGATATTGCACAATACACAAACTTAACATAATTAAATAACATAATAATAATATATCAATTCAAGCTCAAATTATTAATTAAGAATCCGGTTTTGTTGAAAATTTAAAAATAGCTTGAAAAGAATTTGGACAGAGAAAGAGTCAAATGTGAAAATGTAAACACTGATATCGATAAATGTGTTATCAACTCATTATTTTGTTTCGGCTTTCGCTTTAATTCTCAACTAATGTCAACAATCAATTAATGGGTAGAGTGGGACGGTGTGGGGGTGGGGGTGGCGCATCTAAATGCAATCAGCATGGAAACAAAGATTGGGGTTCACGCACACACACACACACGCTAACGAAACGCTGCATGGCAGTGTTGAACTTCTGCGTATATGTATACACGTATATGTATGTGAAATACACCCACATAGCCTCAAAAACACATACGCACCTTTTGCAGTTTGTAGTTATTCTGTTTTCTTATTTGCGTACTGTCAATTTTTGATTTACGTAAGTGGCTGCAATTCACAAAGTTAGCTGTCAATTCAATTGTATTGACAAACTTTTTGTGGATTTTAGTGCACTTTATCGGTATTGACACCACAATATGGCGATATTGCTTCTTTCACTTTTTTTCAGGCCAACTTGTATGAACTGCGCCACACACGCACACACACACACACAGCACACACACTCGCGCACGCACACGATGACAACGACAACGACGACGATTGGCCGAAATGCATCGGTTATTGCACTGCACTTGACTAATTTGTTGTTGCTACGCGAAGATTTTTGGAGCTATTGCATCGCCGAATTGGTGCGCCTTCTATTATTATTTGTAATAATTAGAAATAAATACGATACGAGAATTAAGCCAGCGAACGCGCTGCGCTTTTCATTCCATGCTGCGGCGCTCACAAAAACACACACACGCACAAAGTTGTGTGTGTGTGTGTGGGCGCATTGCACCGATCTGGCAACACCAGCAACCAAAGTGCAACTCTGCAACCAGCTGTCAAAAGCAATTAGCACTTATCGAATCATTAACTAATATTATTAATATTTTTAAACTATTTGCTAACTGCAAACTACATATAAATAAATAATGCAACAGCATTTTTGAACTGATGTTCTAATCTAGTAACATACATTTAGTCATTTTGTTTGTGGTGGTGCGCCGATAAATCGATAGGCACTTTGATAATCTGATGAAAAAGTCAGCAAATCGCAGTAAAATCAATTAAATTAGAGAGCTGAGCTGGCCATCAAATTAATTTATGCATACATATAATAAAATAAAAAAAACTCCAAAATAGTTTAGTGGCCAGACAGCTCGTGTGCAATCCAGGAATCAAACATTTCTCAAAGAACACGAGCAGTTTTTTTAGCGTGTGTGTGCGTGTGTATTAGTGCGAGGAGTTCATAAATCGTTCCATATACACACACATATATATATCAGTCTACACTTTATTGCACTTTACGTGGCGTGTCGGCAGCAAATCATGGATGGCAACAAGGACGAAGCACAGCGTTGCATCGAAGTTGCGGAGCAGGCATTTAAATCAGGCCAAATCGAAAGGGCCGAAAAATTTCTGCTCAAGGCAGAGAAACTTTATCCCACGGACAAAGCCAAGCGTAAGTCGCCCTGAGTTTCTCACAGTGAATAAATAAATTGAGACTTGTCTTTAGAGCTACTGGCCAAGGTGAAGAGCACATCAGCGAGCAATGGCAACGCTGGCCGAGATCGTTCCAACGCTACTGCTGCGGATGAGAAGGATTCGGGGCCGAGGAAGCGTGTCAATTCGGATTCCCGTAGCCATGCACCCGAATACACCACCAGCCAGCTGGAGGCGGTGCGCCAAATCAAAAAGTGCGTAGCAGGAGATGGAAGACAGAAATCGCTCCTTCAATCTCCAATTTATTGTTGTCGACTTTTGTTTCGTAGATGCAAGGATTACTATGAGGTGCTGGGCGTTAGTAAGACAGCCACCGATTCAGAGGTGAAGAAGGCATACAAGAAACTCGCCCTGCAACTGCATCCGGACAAGAATAAGGCGCCCGGTTCTGTGGAGGCATTCAAGGCGCTTGGGAACGCGGCCGGCGTTTTAACGGATGCAGAGAAGCGTAAGAATTACGATCTATATGGCATCAATGAGTCGCACAGCGGTCATGGCAACAGCGGACACCATGGACATGGACAGCATTACAGTGACTATGGCTATTCGCGCACCTTCCAGGCGGACATGAGTGCCGAGGAGCTCTTCAATATGTTCTTCAATGGTGGCTATGCACAGCAGAATATCTACAGGCAGCAGCGACGACGTCATCAGGCTCGCGAGGACAGAGATGTATATATATATATTTATTGATATTTTTGTATTTTTGATATATTATATATATTTGATATATTTGCTTACTTGCAGACCAACAACTCATCGACGTTGCTCAATTTGCTGCCCATTTTGTTGCTCATCGTTTTGTCCATGATGTCCTCCTTCTTTATATCGGATCCCATGTACAGTCTAACGCCATCCCAGTAAGTTCTACCATAATACATATAATATCATATATATTTTATAATTATAAATCTTTGTCGTTGCTGTGCAGTAAATATTCGGTGAAGCGTGAGACAAACGGTCTCAAAATTGCTTATTATGTCAAGGATAACTTCTATTCGGAGTATCAGGGGTCTGTTGCTCGTCTCGAGGAATCCGTCGAGGAAGATTTTGTCAATCATTTGAAGCATTCGTGCAGTCGAGAGCGAAACTATCGTAAGCGCATAAAAAGTCACTATTTATTTATAATTAATTGATGTATTTTTTGTAATTCTGCAGGCGATTCGATGTTGGCCAAGGCTCGCACATTTGGTGACCGAGATCTGTACCGGAAGGCTCAGAACATAAATACGCCATCGTGCGAGAATCTGCAAAAGTATTTAATTACATGATTTCAACATCTGCAATACGATAATCATCGTAAAGAAATTTAAACGTGATTTCAACTTATTTTTATCGTTTTATCTGCATAATTGTTATAAATTGATTTTTTCGTTCTAACTGGATTGTTATAGTTTATTCCCCACACAAACACACACACACTCTGTCTCACACACACACACACACACACACCATATTATATATATGTATAGATTTATTGCGGATGGAAAAGCGGCTTATTCTCGTCAATATTGATATTGGAAACTTCCAAATGCTTTTTTCCAATTTTACACAAAAGAAACTTTACCTTAATAGTCAAATTTGAAAAGCTTTTACTACGACGAGAGATAAAACATAATAAATGGGTAATGCTCTAAATATACGTTAAATATATACAAAACAACATACAAAAAAACAAAAACGAAAAGAAAAGTTAAATCTTTCCTTTTTCATATTCGGATATTGGGAATCCGCTCAATTTTGTTTTTTTTTTTTGGTTTTCATTGCAGAAAATATGAATAAACTTGAAATATATGCGCAAACTATGAAACCTTGTTTTCTTGACTCCCCTTTTAAGCCCGGTTCCGAGCTCAAAATTTGTTGTTAAAAATTTGTTTTTCTCTTTACTAGTTTATAAATGTACAAATAAAGCAGTGTTATGCTAAGTGGCGCCATCTACCGGTTCCGGCAATTCATTCAATTGCTGATGATGGCTTCCAGGGCAGCAACAACATCTCCGCTCTGCTCGCGGAGCACCTTTTCGGCCTGTGTCTTGCTAACAAGCAGCTCATTCATCTGTGTGTGTGTGCAGATAAAGAGAGTGAGATTAATCATATACGTGTGTGTGTGGTTTATCTACTTACAATCAGTTCAATATCCTCCTTTTTCACCTGCACCTTTTGCAGCTCCTTCTCCTTGGCCACTCTCAGCTCGTTCTCTTTGCTGCGCTGATTGCCAAACTGTTCCACCGCCTAAAACGGAAGAAGAAAGTGAATTAGTTGAAACGGTTTCATTTCCATTGCTGTTGGACTCATTAGATTTACGCTCGATATGTTTGCGGCAGAGATTTCCTTTTCCTCGGCATAGTCGGTGACACGTTCCAAGTCGGCGGCGCCGCCATCGTGACGCGTTTGCTTCTTTTGCTTGATGTCCTGATCCTGGGCATCGTCCTCGGCCTCGGTGCCGTTGACCTCAACCTCTGGCTCGGTTTCCGTCATGCTGTTGCTGTTGCCTGCTTGCCTGTTCGCCTTTTATTTCAATTAAGTTCAATATTTAATTTTGATGTTCAGCCTCGTGCGAATGTTTTTTTTTTATCTACTGTCACTGCAACATTAGCTATCGACGGGCCGCCACATTGCAAGCTTAACGAAGCGCTCCTCACTTAACGAGTGTTCGGTTTGTGTCTTGGCTTGACGATGTTTTCCGATTTTTCATTATATATTTATTTACACAATTTGCAATACTCATTGCTTTAATGCTCTGCCACAAAACTAATTAAAAGTGCAAGCATTTTTGTTGTTTCTTTTATCTTTGTTTAGTTTTATTTTTTTTTTCAGCCGCACCAAACTCTTGCCTAGTTTGCAAAATTTTGTTGCGGTCAAAATGTTAATTATAAGTTTCAAGCGCAGACATAATGAGATTCTCGGGCCGGGCGGCAAACCCAATTCGCAAACCATTTGAACTCTTCCCCCCTCCAACCAAACCCACCCACATCCGATGAGTTGGTCCTTCGACAATATGTTCCTTGCTTATATTTAAGTTGGTCGCTGCGGGCGGTATTCCCCATGTCCTGTGTGTCCTGAGTCCCGTGTCCGGGCTCCTGTTGACATAATCGTTTGCCATCATGATTAATTTAATTGTCACTTTGACGCAAGCGAAATTCCACAGAACCGTTACTTGGGCGTCAAAATCAAGATTAATTAACATCTCGACCCATGGGCGGTCAACATCATTTGTTAGTGTATCTCAGTGCATGCATGTACACTGCAAGAAAACCAACATTAAATATGTACAGCAAAAATAATAGCATCTTAATTTTGGAAATGCCTATCGACCTATCGATAATTTATTTATTGATTAATATTAACTACATTTTGATACAATAAATATTTAAATTAATAATACACTTAATTTTAAATATTTAAATTTAAGTAAAATTTTGTCTTTTGCTTAAATTATTATTATTTTTTCATTGAAATAAAAGTAAATTGTTAAATGCTTCGAATATACGATTTTTTTACTTTGTTTAATTGTTTTCCAAATCATTCCTACTCGAATTAAATATATTTTTAATTATTGTTTATTGTTTGGTGATCTCCTTATATAATTTAGATTTAATTTAAATTTAATTTAATTTAAATTTAATTATATATTTTTTTTTTATTTAAAAAATGTATTCTGCTGGCTTTAGAATAGATTTCATCATCCATTAAAAATGTGTAACAAATCTCCCTGATTCCCCCTTTTTTCTCAGTGTACTATGAATATGGATAACATATTTATGTGTTTGTATGTTTTTTGGTTGGCTGCAATTTTTAATTTAATTCGATTTCCCTTCGGCATCGCTCATCAGTGATTTTTTCTGCTTAACTTTAACTCTGTCTCTCTCGCTGCAGCAGCTGGAGCCGCATCCAAGTTGGGGGCACCGAACACTGAGCTGGGCCATCATTGCCCATGCAGGACACGCTGGCAGACCAAAAAAAAAAAATAAATTGTTTACCGCTGTGCCAGCACATGAGACAATATATATTGTCAAATAAAAAAAAAATATATGTATATATATATATATATATATATATATATGTATATATATATGTATATATGTGTGTGTTTGTGTGTGGCGCAACAGGCGCTCATTTAAATTGTATGTAAGTAAAGGCCATGGTCGTCGACAGGATCTCGGCAAGAGGAATGCTTGTAAAGACCATCAAAACTGACTTCAAATAGTGCTTAAAATAAACACACAAATTAAATATTCCCAAATATAATAAACCTTAAAATTTGATATTTAATAGCTTTCATAAAGAAAGTAAAAGTGATAGAAAACAATAAATTAAAATTTGTAATTTTCAAAGTATTTTTAAAGCAAAAATCAGGCTTAAAATCTTTAGAATCTTACACTTTTTTATTTTAAAGAAACCATTTATAATTCAAAAAGTATTTTTCATTATCGACCTTGTTTAATTCACTTTTAAGGAGCAAATTTGGAGGTGGATTGAGTTCACGAAGTTTGAGTTTTTTGTCTTTTACAAAAAGTCGAAAGGTCTTTTATTTTTTACTCGAAATAAAAAAAAAATTATAATTAATTTTTTGGACTTATTGTTCAAATAATTTTAATTAAATTAATTTTGTAAATAATTCTGGCATTTAAAAAATATAAATCATAACCATTGATTTTTTTTGTTGTCCAATTGTAAATGGTTTAATGCAACAGCTTGTTTTGCAGCGCGTGGCGCCCCCTCCGACTACGTCCTTGATCGATACTGGCGCTGCTGCTGTGCGCTGCTTTGCCAATTGGCAATTGGAAATTAAATTATGCCGCTAATTAGCAGTGCACACACTCAAACACACACACACACACACACTCAAACACAGAGAGATACACTTGCAAATAAATTATGCTGCCAATTTTGGGGCTCATTGTGGTTTTTGGCCTCGCATTCGCCACGTTTTTGGCTACGCGCTGCATATTTTCAGGCGCCATTTGCCATTTCCTTTTTCCTTTCCATTTCCAATTCCATTTCCCATTTCACATTTCCCATTTCCCACTTTGCATGTGCCGCAGAGCGCAGAAATTCACACAGTAAATTTTGGACAGCAGCACAGAAAGGCAGGGAAGAGAGGAGGGTGGGGGAGGGGGGTGGGGAGGGGGGGTGTAGTGCCCAGCTATCGGGTAGGCGGAGGCAGATGGATTGGGGGCAACTCTGTCGGCAACGGCACTTTTGGCTGCGTGATCTAATTGAGCTGTATTGTTTTCATTGCACACACACACGAGACACTTGAGGGGGGTGGGTTGGTGGGAGGGGTTGGGGGGTGTTCAAAAAGTACACTTTTTTGACTTGTGACTCATTTCGCATTTTGACATTGGATTTGCTTGTTTTTAAAGTGTAGTTTGAGTTGGACAAACTTCAGTTTGTATTCTGTCAGTTTCATGATGTGCCAAAGTTATTTTTTTAAGTGCAGTGATTGAAATGTTGTCAAACTGATATTATTTTATATTTGTATAGTTTTCGCTTGAATTCGCAGCTTTAAATTAAGTTACCAATTGTCTTTATGAATTAATAAATTTAAGATGATCTCATAAAATATAAAAAAAATTATATTTTATTCCCATTTATGGAGGAAACAGGTTAATTTTAAACTGTTATTATTGTAATAAGTATTTATATATTACTTAAATTAATCAGCATTAATTGAAATTTATTATTTATTTTTTTAAGTAGGGCAGCTACAATTTTGAGTGTATATTAAATAATACCAGAAATCTTAAACATTTTTCTTATCTTTTTTTTGAAAGTGTTTTGTTTTTTTCTCATAACATGAAAAGTATTTTGCAATTAAATTGCTACAAATTTGGCCAAATTCAGCAACACAGCTTTTTAACTAACCAAGATAAATCAGTATTTGCTCTATCTATCTATATATATATATATATATATATATATATATATAATAATAATAATATAGTAATAATTTTAAATATCAATTTAATGTTGAACAAATGCTGATCGTTAATCATTTATTAAGGATTTGTGCCTCTTTAAAAAGAATTAAATTTAATGAATTAATGCGATTTCCAAAGTGGCCAAAACTACAATTGAATATGGTCAAAATCCTTTGTTTATGTTTGTTAAATCTGATTTGGTGTCATTGCTGCGGAATGTTGTCCACAACTCAAAATTGAACTACGCCTGTTTATTTAGGGCTGCAACAGATTGTGGCATTGAGGCATGGTTGGGTGGGGGTAGCGGGGGAGTTTTGGGAAATCGATTTACGCTTGCACAGCCTTGTTGCATGCCCCCCCACCCCAACTCGGTGGACATGCAGCAGTGAGTGCGGTTCGATTTCAATGCCATATTCGGCATGCAGTCAATAAATAAATTTGCATAGCAAATAAATTAAGAAAATCCAATTTTGCAGTGTGAATGAAATTAGCATCGATTGTTGATTGTGGCATATTGCGGCATTCAAGGACAGGCACAGGCACAGGCACAGGCACAGGCACAGGCAGAGGCACAGGCATTGCCACTTTAAGTGCGTGTCGTCCTCGATGGTCCTTTTTTGCCATTGCATGCATAATTTGCTGTACTCAACTCAATTACGCTTATAACACTCAACGCTCGAGATTCCAACATCGTTTCTACATCAGCGATGAGTGAAACAGCAGGACGGGGAGAGGGCCATTTGTTGAGGTCCTGGCTGTTGCCAAACTTTGGTTTATTCGCAAATTGTCCAAAAATAATTGAGCCATTGAAGGCGCTCGAATGGTCAGCAAAAGTTCGAACTGTAACTGTAATAGATACAAGAAACTTTGCTCCTTGACTGCGCCCCCTTGACAAAAGGATGCCAAAGGATGTTGTCTATGTGTGTGTCTATGTTTGTCTGTGTGTGTGTGTGTGTGGCGACCTATTGACGACCTTTATCGCACTGTACATAAACCATAATCGCAATTGGCAAGTGGCCGCCACTCGAAATTTCTTGTAGCCATTGTCATGCTTCGCAGGCCAGCCGGACATACACTGACAAAAAAAGAGATGGCATCATTTTCAGTAATGTGACTTTAAAAGATGACATGCATATTATTTGTCTGCTAACCGAAAAGTAACTCAAATTAGCATGAAAAGTAACTCAAATCTTATGCTAAGTAAACAGAGAGAAAAAATAATAATTAGGCTTGCTGCAATTTGGAATAATAAAATAATAATATTAATAAATGCTTTGATTTGTTCTATGAAGTCAGTAAAAATTAGATAGCCAGTTTGGATTCGTAGATCAAGTAATTTCCATAGGATTGGTCGACTGAAAGCTGAGTTCTTGTTTGAAACCTTGTTTACCAAGTAATCCGAATCCAACTTAAATAATATACGACCACAAATCATAGATATCGAACTACTATATCCTATAACTTACATAGGAGCAATCGATCGGTTTTTCTTTTTTTTAGTTAATTGTACAAATTAGTTGCAGGCAGATATTTCTTCTTCTAAGACTATTTTATGTTGTTCAAGTGTATTTAATTTTAATTCATATTTATTCTGCAGATATATCTATATCATTTTACATAAATTCTGTTATTTTATATGCAATTTTAG